CACTAGCTGCCTATTTATTTGCATGTTTACTCATGGTCTCATGTTCTTGTATGATAATTGGACTGTCCGTGCTCCATTCTTAGGTCTTCCTGTCTACCGTGTCCTGGTTTCCATCTCCTCTTGCCTACTGGAAGGCATTGTTCCAGTAATTCTCTTTCTTACGTCGTCAATTTTTTAATCCTTTTAAATGTTTGTTCACATCAACATATGAACATGTTTTAATTTCTCTTACCTTAAAAAATGAAAACTTGACACCATATGCTCTTTGACTTGTCACCCCATTCTTTTTCCTTTAAAGACTTGTATCATATATACTTGTCTTTTAATTCTTCCAGCCTTTCTTCTCCTCTCCCAACCATACTGGAACTGAGGTCCCCGATGACCTGTTAAAAATACAGTGGCTGGCCGCGGTGGCTCATGCCTGTAATCCCAGCACTTTGGGAGGCTGGGGTGGGCGGATCATGAGGTCAAGAGATTGAGACCATCCTGGCCAACATGGTGAAACCCCATCTCTACTAAAAATACAAAAATTAGCTGGGCGTGGTGGCCCTTGCCTGTAGTCTCAGCTACTCGGGAGGCTGAGGCAGGAGAATTGCTTGAACCTGGGAGGCGGAGGTTGCAGTGAGCCAAGATCACGCCACTGCTCTCCAGCCTGGCGACAGAGCGAGACTCCGTCTCAAAAAGAGAAGAAGAAGAAGAAAAAATACAGTGGTCACTTTTTGGTTTTCATCTTACTTGTGAGCAGCATTTGACACAGATGATGGATCCTCCTCCTGGAGGCACTTCGTTTGGTTTCCAGAACACTACCCCCTCCTGGCTCACCTCATGTTCCTTGGTACTTCTTTTTCAGTCCCCACTGCCTATTCCTTCTTATCTTTGTGATCTCTAATTATTAGAATGCCAAGAATCTGTCTTAGCCATCTTTATCTTTTTAGTTGTTTAGGACAAAAACTTTGGAATCTTCCTTGATTCCTTTTATTTATCCTTCCTCCACCTCCCCAGTCAACCCATCAGCAAATCCTGTCAGCTCTACCTTAAAATGTATTTGGGATCTATTTTTCATCACCTCCACTGCATCCACCCTAGACCAAGCCATTACTTCTTGGCCTCGTGATTGAAGTAGTTTTCTAATCAGTCTCCTAGCTTCGTGCCTTTGTCCCTCCTTCCTCTCCCCTCCCCCTCCAGATTTTTACTACAGTAGCCAGAATTCTCTATTTAACAGGTGAGTCAGAACATGCAGTCTTACAGTTAGAACACTCCAGTGGATCTCCCTCTCAATGCTTTTTGGTTTTAAAAATACTAGCATCCTAAAATGTCCAAAATCAAACTGCTGATTTTGCCCTGAAATCTTTTGTGTCTTCCCCATCTTAGTAAATGTACATTAGTAAATGTAACTCCAGGAGTGCAAAGCTATTTGTCTTTTTTTTTTTTTTTTTTTAAATCTGTACCACTTACAGCAGTACCTGAAGGCACTCAGTATTTACTGAATAAATGAGAAGAAATCAGTCTTTCAAAGAGCAGAGTAAGAGAAGTGTTCTAGGTGGTATGAACCATAAGTGCAAAAGAACCTGATGGGGCCTAAGTTTGGCATGTTTAATGAACTGAAAAAAGGCCAGCCTGGACATGGTTGCTCATGCCTCTAATCCTAGAACTTTGGGAGGCCAAGGCAGGAGAATTGCTTGAGCCTGGGAGTTTGAGACTAGCCTGGGCAACACAGCGAGACCCCATTTCTGCAAGAAATTAAAATATTAGGTATGATGGCTTGCAGTATTCAGGAGGCTGAGATGTAGAGCCTGCAGTAGTGACCCCTGATTGCTCCACTGTACTCCAGCCTGGGCGAGAGCCAGACCCTGTCTCAAAAAGAAAAAAAAAAAAAACCAGTCTGGCAGGGGCTTACGTACTGTATAAATTTCCTATTGCTACTGCAGCAGCAAATTTCTATGTACTGTTGTAAAGTTCTGGTGGTCAGAAGTCCAGAATGAGGCTCCAGGAGTTAAACATCAAGGTGTGGGTAGGGGTTCTGGAGAATGAGTTTCCTTGCCTGTTTCAGCTTCTAAACACCTGGGATCCCTTCCCCATCTTAATGCCATCAGCACAGCGTATTTGAATCTCTGTCTCTGATTTCTACTTTGCTTGTTTCATCACCTTCTCTGACTGACCCTCCTTTGTTTCTCTTGTAAGGACCATTGTGATCACATCATCTGGCCAGCCTGGGTAATCCAGGGTAATCTCTTGACCTCAAGATCCTTAACTTAATTCCATCTGTGAAACTCTTTTTGCCAAGTAAATTCACATATTCACAGGTTTCAGGGATTAGAACCTAAACATCTTTGGCAGGGGTGAGGAGGTATTCAGCCTGCCACAGTTCATGAAGGGTGAGTGGCCTGAGATAAGGTCTTAGAGATTGGCAGGTACCAGATCATGATAGATCATGATAGGGAGTCTGTTTTTCAGTCATAGTGCTGAGGGGTTTCAGTAGGGGAATGATATGATTTGATGTGAAAAAGTCTCCCTGGCCACTGGATGGCGATTAGACTGTTGGGATCAAGAGCAGAAGGCCTCAGCTTTTTATTCGTAAGATCATACGGTGGATCTCAATCTTGGCTCTACATTGTGATCACACCTCAAAGCAGTTATATCTGAACCACTGAGGGCTGGACCCAATTATCAGCCTTTTTTTTTTTTTTTTTTTTTTTTTTAATAAAAAGAGCATTCTAATTGTAGCGAAGGTTGAGAACCACTAGTCTCATAGATCTGAATCCATTTTACTTTTTCAGCCTTAGCTCGATAGGAGCTTCTCCCATCTGTCACTTACTGCATGGGCTACTTGGCCATTTTGTGCCTTTCAAAATATACCTAGTCTAGGGAGGCCTGTGCGGACTATCAGGGCCCAGCTGCTAAACTCACCTCCAGAAAACTTCTCCAGTGCCCTGTAGTAGGAATGATTTGCTTCCTTCCCCAGCTCCCATTTGTACTTAGATTTCTCAGCCCTGATCACAGTCAGCTGTATACTATAGTCTCCTTTGCTTATTTACTCATGCCTTCAACAAATATTGTACCACTTGGCTGAATGCTCTGCTAGACACGAGGATTTATTACAATGCAAAGACAGTCCTGGTTGGGCGTGGTGGCTCACACCTATAATCCCAGCACTTTGGGAGGGTGAGGTGGGCGGATTGCTTGAGGTCAGGAGTTTGAAACCAGCCTGGCTAACATGGTGAGACTCTGTTTCTACTAAAAATACAAAAATTAGCCAGGCTAATTAGCTGAGATGCACTCCTATAATCCCAACTACTGAGGAGGCTGAGGCACTAGAATCACTTGAACCCAGGAGGTGGAGGTTGCAGTGAGCCGAGACCATACCACTGTACTCCAGCCTGGGCGACAGAGCAAGACTTTCACACACACACACACAAAAGACCTTGTCCTCCAGGTCTTCCAGCAGTTTATATATGGAGGTAGGAGTGGGTAGACTTGCAATAAGAATACTCCGAGATAATTGTTCAAATGGAGATTTGTCCAAGTGCTGTAGGAACGTGGGGTTTTCAGAGACAGGTTTTCAGCTATTTCAGTATTTGAGCTAAAAAACTTGAAGGATGATTTGGTATTTGCCTGGTGGTGAGCGGGGCATGGGGAAGGGAAGCGTTTTCTGAGACAACGTGTGAAAGGCAGGAGATGGGAGAGAGATTGCAGTGTTTCTTAGAGACCATGTAGTTAACAGTATTGCTTCAGTGCTCAGCAGTGCTCAGTGAAGACAGTGTCAGAAGCAAGTGTGGGGCATTAGATTCCGTGATCTTCTATGCTTTTTGTGAAGGAGTTAAATTTTATCCTATACTTGTAGGGATGCCATTGAAAAATTTGAGCAGTAGAGTGACATGGTATGATTTCCATATTGGGAGGATTGCTCTGGGTAATGTAGAGGAGAGGCTGGAATAGAGAGGGATAAAGGCAGGGAGGCTGTTGAGTGGCACTAGGAGAGGAACAGGAGCAGGTTCGTTGTCGTTGAGGGGAATTGCAGTGAATTGAGGTGTGAACCACTCTTAGAAGCCTAAGGTTATGGGGCCGGACATGGTGGCTCATGCCTGTAATCCCAGGACTTCGGGAGGCCAAGGCAGGTGGATCACAAGGTCATGAAATCGAGACCATCCTGGCTAACACAGTGAAACCCTGTCTCCACTAAAAACATGCAAAAAATTAGCTGGGCTTGGTAGCACACGCCTGTAGTCCCAGCTACTTGGGAAGGTGAAGCAGGAGACTCACTTGAACCGAGGAGGCGGAGGTTGCAGTGAGCTGAGGCCATGCCACTGCACTCCAGCCTGAGCGACAGAGCAAGACTCCATCTCAAAACAAAAAAACAAAACAAAACAGGCTAAGGTTGTAAAAGGAAGCAATGCTTTGGGAAAGTAGAGGATTGAAGGGGAGATTCAAGATCAGGGTTCTTAAAATCTTTTTTGCCTAATAAGTGGCCTTGAAGAAGTTTATATGCATATGCTGATTAGAAAGATTCAGTAGAGGCCGGGCTCGGTGGCTCATGCCTGTAATCCCAGCACTTTGGGAGGCCGAGGCGGGCAGATCACCTGAGTTCAGGAGTTCAAGACCAGCCTGGCCAACATCGCGAAATCCCGTCTTAACTAAAAATACAAAAATTAGCTGGGCGTGATGGCACTCACCTATAATCCTAGCAACTTGGGAGGCTAAGTCTGGAGAATCGTTTGAACCCAGGAGGCGGAGGTTGCAGTGAGCCAAGATCATGCCATTGCACTCCAGCCTGGGTGATGAGCAAAACTCCATTTCAACAACAACAAAAAAGAAAGATCCGATAGATAGACTTGAAGGTAGAAGAAAATGTAAATAAAGGGGAAAATGATGAAACAAGTCCCTGAGGAGGCATGAAAAGAAGTTATTCTGAGCACAAATAATTGGTTTAGCCTTGGATAAGAAGAGAAGGAATTGTGAGAAGGGATCATGGAACTAAGGATGCAGTCAGATGATTTTGTGAAGGAGCCAGAAACCTTGAGATTATCCCCAGTAGCCTCGGCTTGCTCTGTGACTTGGGAGAGAACAGGTGAGGATAGGTGTTAAGTTTGTAGTAGCATCATCTGCACCCCAGAGTTTTCTCAGAAAGTGCAGCCTAGGGGCAGGAATGGAGCAGTTGAGACTTGGATTATTACCTGGGGTTGTTGCCAGATGATTTGAGGAGGATGGGATGGAGGATCTGCATGTGTCCTTTTCCTAGGTTTTGAATTCCTGATGCTGTAACCACATTATTTTATCTTCTATTTTGATGAGTATGCAGTTTTGCATGCAGTGACTGTGTAAACACTGAATATCCTTTTGCTTCTTGACCATTTATTTTTCCTACTAGGATAGTAATGATGACACTGAAGATGTTTCCCTGTTTGATGCAGAAGAGGAGACGACTAATAGACCAAGAAAATCCAAAATCAGGTAGGAGGAGAAGTTGCATGAGCTGTGTTAGTGTCCAGTGCTGTTCTGTATGTATGTCGTTGTTTCGCTGTGCTTGTGAATACTGCATGTTGCTGGTTTGACAACATGCAGTATTTAGTGTAAGACCAAGATGACATTTCAGATTTTCTTGCGAATAATTGGCATATGGAATTTTACTTAATACTGAGTTTTATAGCAAATCCAATTATTTGAACACCTGTGTTTTAATTCTGTGCTGTTTTCCAAGAATGTACCATTTCTTCATATAGTTTCTATAGATACATTACATTTTGATTTGTTGTGCACATTTCAAAATCACATGACATTTCTATTCTAAATTTAATTCTCTCTAAAGAAATTCACTTACTGAAAGCAAATTCTACCTGAACCCTGCTAAAACGCTGTTTTTAACTTTTCTTTCATTTTTCATGCCAGTCACAAAAGACCACATATTGTGTGATTTCATTTGTATGAAAAGTCCAGAATAGGCAAATCTGTAGAGACAGAAGATAGATTAGCTGTTGCTAGATACTGAGGGGTTTGAAGGTAAATGGGGAATGACTGCCAGTGGGTACAAAGATTCTGTCTGGGGTAATGAAAAGTTGTAAAATTGATTGGAGTGATGGTTGTACAACTCTGTGAATGTACTACAAACTATTACAAACCATTAGATTGTTTACCTTAAGTAAGTAAATTGTATGATATGTGAATTATATCTCAAAAAAGGTGTTAAAAAACAAGAAACAGGCTGGGTGCAGTGGCTCACGCCTGTAATCCCAGCGCTTTGGGAGGCCAAGGCGGGTGAATCACGAGGTCAGAACTTTGAGACTATCCTGACTAACACGGTGAAATCCCTCTACACTAAAAAAAAATACAAAAAATTAGCTGGGCGTGGTGGTGGGCGCCTGTAGTCCCAGCTACTCAGGAGGCTGAGGTAGGAGAATGGTGTGAACCTGGGAGGCAGAGTTTGCAGTGAGCCGAGATCGTGCCACCATACTCCATCCTGGGCGACCGAGCGAGACTCCATCTCAAAAAAAAAAAAAAAAAAAAAAAGAAAGGAAAGAAACAAAACAAGAAACAACCTACCTGATAACTTTGTCTTAATTTCTGAAGTGATTTCTGAGGGCTAAGGAATTCTTTTGGTATGGTTTGAAAATATGATTCAGATTCTAAGATATAGTTTCCTTATTTCTCCAAGCGAGGTAAAGTTCTTTATTATATATTTTGTGAAAGTTTATATTCAATGAAGTGTTAAAGTCATCTGTGCATAGTGTATTTTCTGTGACAACCAGGGCCTAGTCAAATAGTGAGACTTAAGAAAAAGAGAGGTAGGACGTTTGCTTCCTCCTAAAGTCATCTCTTATTTTGACAAAACTCTTCACAGTTACACCACGGCTAAAACATTTTTTCTCTACATTTGCTAGTACCTGTAGTAAAATGTAATTGCATATTGTGTTTTGGTTTTCAGACATCCAGTAGCATCATTTTTCCACTTATTCTTTCGAGTCAGTGCAATCGTCGTCTATCTTCTCTGTGAGTTGCTCAGCAGCAGCTTTATTACCTGTATGGTGACAATTATCTTGTTGTTGTCGTGTGACTTTTGGGCAGTGAAGGTAATTTTGATTGTTTTTATTTGAAAATTATATTTAATATGAAAATGATGTATAAAATAATGAGAGCATTTTGCATTAGTATTAATCTTTTGTTACTTCAAACCTTGTCTGTGTTAAAGTGCTAGATATATCAAATTGCATGTAGATTTTTTTTTCATTTTTTCCCTTTGACAATACAAGATGAGACATGTAGGTTACTGTGCTGCTGATTTTTCTGTGCCATATTCTAACCTACATCAGCTTCAAAGTCAAATAAACAAATGTGACTAGCAATCATACACCCTACAATGTTGCTTCTAATCCATACCATGGGTTTTGCTTCAGGCTTACCTGTAGGTGTGCTGTATATAATTTCTAGATAAGGCCCCAGTGTAGGTTGTCCACAAATACTTAAAAAATACTTACCTTTTGCAGAAGCTCCTATGGATGCTTTAGGGCAGTGTTTCTCAACCAAAGACAAGCTTGCCACCCACTGAATATTTGTCAGTGTCCAAATTTTGGAGGTGGGAGGAGTGTGCTATTGACATCTAGTGGATAGAGGGCAGATATGCTGCTAAATATCCTAACACACAGGACAGCCCCCCTGCAACAAAGAATTACGCAAAATGTCAGTTGTGCCAAGGTTGAGACACCCTGCTGTAGGGGATAGAACGGAGTGTAAGAAATGGTTTTAAACTCAAGAACAATGATTAGAGAGATGGATGGATGGATAGATAGGTACATGGATAAATAGATAATCAAGTAAGCATAATAAAATATTAAATATGGACTCTAGATGATATTTGGGTATTCGCTGTAAAATTTAACTCTGTATGTTTGAAAATATTCATAGTAAAATAGTGGAGAAAAAAAATCAAAGGCTAATTTTGGAGTTTCAGAGACATATACTGATTCAAAGACCAGTAAGATGTTACAACCCTATTCACACCCACCAATGTGTCCATTTTTAGATCTTTTAATTCTTGTTTTATTTTTTTTGAGATGGAGTTTCACTCTTGTTGCCCAGGCTGCAATGGCATGATCTTGGCTCACTCACAACAACCTCTGCCTCCTGGGTTCAAGTGATTCTCCTGCCTCAGCCTCCCGAGTAGCTGGGATTACAGGCATGCACCACCATGCCTGGCTAATTTTTTTGTATTTTTAATAGAGACTGGGTTTCTCCATGTTGGTCAGGCTGGTCTCGAACTTCTGACCTCAGTGGATCTGCCCGCCTCGGCCTCCCAAAGTGCTGGGATTACAGGCGTGAAACACTGCGCCTGGCCATCTTTTAATTCTTATAGATATCAGAAGTGGTTGGCTTGGTGATGGCCAGTTTCCATAGGCCACATAATACCGAGAAGGAAGATTTCAAAGGTCTGTTTTCTTTAGGTTTTTCTTTTGTCCACTCTTCTTTGGCTTGCATTTATTTGAATTTCTTCTGTTACTTTATGCTCTAAAGTATTTAGTACATACCTACTCACAGTTTTGATATGCGTTTCTTTTTGTTGTTCATAAAATTTCTATTCAGCCAAACAGAATATGCTTTCCAGTCACATCTTCCTGGTAATTTCCAAACTCTTAAAATTTTTCTGGGTTTAGAGTTTTAAAAAATGTGATCAAAATAGTTTATTTTCTGATAAGGTTTTATTTTTGTTTTTTTGTTTTTAAACAAGGGCTTAAAAATGGCACCCTTTTATCCTTGGCAAAATTGTAGATAGCCAAACAATGGAGATATGAAGCAAAATTAAGAAGTCAAGAATAGGGAAGTTATTAAGTGGACTTCGGATAAGCAGGGTTCTGAAACAGTTAAAATAGAGATGTGTCATAATTGTTATAAATCTCAATGTACTTACTAAAAAAACAAAAAAGCAATCTTTATCTAAACCCCTAGGTGTCCAATCTTTTGGTTTCCCTGGGCCACAGTGGAAGAAAGAATTGTCTTGGGCCACACATAAAATACACTAACATTAGCTGATGAGCTTAAAAAAACACACACACACACACAAAAATCTCATAATGTTTTAAGAAAGTTTACGATTTTCTCGGCCAGGCGGTGGCTCATGTCTGTAATCCCAGCACTTTGGGAGGCCAAGGCGGGCGGATCACGAGGTCAGGAGATTGAGACCATTCTAACATGGTAAAACCCCGTCTCTACTAAAAATACAAAAAAAAAATTAGCCGGGCATGGTGGTGGGCGCCTGTAGTTCCAGCTAACCTGGAGGCTGAGGCAGGAGAATGGCGTGAACGCGGTAGGCAGATCTTGCAGTGAGCTGAGATCGCGCCACTGCACTCCAGCCTGGGCGACAGAGTGAGACTCTGTCTCAAAAAAAAAAAAAAGTTTATAAATTTCTCTTGGGCCACATTCAAAGCTGTCCTGGGCAGCATGAGGCCTGTGGGCAGAGGGTTGGATAGGCTTACCCTAGGTGATGTTAATGAAGATAAAGAAGAGGTAGAGAACAGAAAATAATTTAAACGTATGTTTAAATGCTAAAGCTTATATTGGTTTTTATTTTATTCTTCACTCTGACAAATTGAGTAAAAAAGGTTAAAAAATGGTTTTAAAAATTTGATGACAACTATTAGTAAAATTTAAAACAAGTCATGTGTCTTCTGAAACATTAGAGAAGATGGAACAAGTAAAACAATTCATAGAGCAAAAGAAGGAAAACAAAGCAAGTGTCAAGGAAGCTTAAATCAGAAAGCACATGTATAAGGTGATGTAAGTAATAGCAAATTCATTATAATAGTAAATGTAATTTGATTAATATACCCATTTAAAGACAAGAATATTAAGATCGGGTCAGAAATCAAAGTCCAAACAAAAGATCTAACCAAATTAATGACATTAGAAAAAATAAAAGAAGGCAAAGATAACATCAGATCAACTCAAACAAAAAGAAACTTGGCATTGTATGATTATCAGATGAGATGTGAATCAGAATAAGAAAGCACAAAGAGGAACAAAAAAATGTCATTTTATGAATCACAGTTAAGATCATTCAGAGTAAAATTATATCAAACTATGTATAAAAAATTAGAAATATTAGAAGATAGAAAAGCATTATGATAAGTCTAACAAACTACAATCTTTAACAAACCAAAGTACCAAAAATAACTAAGGTCTGAAGGATCTGAATGAAATAATTAGCAATATCAATTTAATAGCAGTTTTTGGGACTTTGTATGACAGAATACTTTCTTGTAAAGTGCCTGTGGAGCATTTACAAAGATTGACTAAATATCACTGTGAAGAAAATCAAAATAAAATTGCCCAGAGCACCTACATTTTCTAGTCCAATGAAACAGAACTAGAAATTAATAAGTGGTTGTCAAAATTGGAATTCTTTTTAAAAAACCAACTGCTATGTAATTGGGTTTAAAAGGAAGCAAAAAACTGTAAATATAGGTTATTTATACCTTAATGGTGATCATTTACAGTCAAGCTTTCTGAATATGTCAAAAACTGAATTCAGAGGGAAAATAATAGAGGGAAAATAATGGACTACTTGAATCCAGAAGTTTCAAAAATAAGCAATAGGCCTGAGAAATTAGGAAAATAAGCTAATAAAGATAAAAGCAGGAAAGAGTTGGAAAATGGGAACATGGAAGAGTTTGAAAGTATTCTGAGAGCATTCTTTGAAAATACCTCTGCTTTAGATCTCCCTTGCCAGCTCTTTTTTTTTTTTTTTTTTCCACTTAACATCTCTTCCATAGGAATTTCGGTTTCATAAGACTCTTCCTTTTCTTCTATATTCCTTTCCTAAGGAGTGCCATCTATGCTTCTGGTTTTGATTGCTGATCTGTAAGCTGTGTTGCCTCCCAGATCTGTATCTCCATTCAGGTTAGTCTTCACAACTCAAGGCCTCTCCTCGTGTGTCTTCTTCACGTTTTTATGTGGCTGTCTTGAAGGCATCTCAGATCTTTTTTTTTTTGAGGTGAATCTTGCTTTGTTGCCCAAGCTGGAATGCAGTGGTGCGATCTCGGCTCACTGCAACCTCCGCCTCCCGGGTTCAGGCGATTCTCCTGACTCAGTCTCCTTGGTAGCTGAGACTACAGGCATGTGCCACCACGCCTGGCTAATTTTTGTGTTTTTAGTAGAGACAGGGTTTCGCTATGTTAGCCAGGCTGGTCTTGAACCCAAGTGAGCCACCATGACTGGCCAGGCATCTCATATCTTAACATGTGTAGAATACTACTTGTCATCTTCCACTCCCCAAAAACTCTTCTTCTTTAAGTGTTCCCTTTCACAGGGTCTGGAATCACTACTTTTTTTACTTGGGCAAACCAGAAATGTATCAGTTGCCTCCTTCCTACTCCATATCCTATTAATGACCAAGTCCCATAAATCCATAGATTATACTTTATTCATTAGGGCGTCAGTGCCTACTACTCTATCTGGAATGCTCTTCTTGCTCCCACATCACCTTAATACAGGGATTCCTAATCTTTTTATGCCATGGGCCCCTTTCATAGACTCATGATAATGTTTTCACATATATAAGGTACATAAGATTACAAAGGAAGTCACTTATATTGAAATATAATTTAAAAATATTAAAAAAGTAAATTTTTGATTGAGTGGTATGTGTAGTAGTCCCCCCATTATCTGAGGTTTCACTTTCTGTGATTTCAGTTATTGTAGTACACTATACTAAACAGTAAGATATTGCATGAGGAGAACCACATTCACATAAATTTTATTAGATTATGTTGTTATAATTGTTCTATTTTTATTTCTTGTTATTAATCTCTTACTGTGCTTTACTTATAAATTAAACATTATCATAGGTATGTATGTATAGGAAAAAATATAGCATATTTAGGGTTTGGTATTATCCACAATTTCAGGCATCTTCTGGGGGTCTTGGATTGTATACCCTGCAGTTACGGGAGGACTACGATACTTTATAAATTTATTAATGGTAAGATCTAGTGGCAGGTCTAATAAGTACTTTCACAGCAGTAGTGAGCATAAACAATATTTTGAGATAACTGCAGCAAGTATAGTATGAAATGAAAAATGTCTGTGGTTTCTATTGTGTCAGGGTGTTTTTAATTTTATCTATATTCGTAGTTTGTTGTCTCCATTAATAATTTAAAGATATGCTAACTACTTTCAAAGCAGTGGTGAGCCTAAACAGTATTTTGAGGCTGGGTGCGGTGGCTCACTCCCATATTCCCAGCACTTTGGGAGGCTGAGGCCGGTGAATCACCTGAGATTAGGAGTTCAAGACCAGCCTGACCAACATGGAGAAACCCTGTCTCTACTAAAAATACAAAATTAGCTGGGCGTGGGGCGCATGCCTGTAATCCCTGCTACTTGGGAGGCTGAGGCAGGAGAATCACTTGAACCTGGGAGGCAGAGGTTGCAGTGAGCTGAGATCGCCCTATTGCACTCCAGCCTGGGCAACAAAAGCAAAACTCCATCTCAAAAACAAAAAACAAAACAAAACAAAAAAAAAACCTACAATATTTTGAGATAACTGTAGCAGGTATAGTACAAAATAAAAAAATGTGATTTCTGTTTTGTCAGGGTGTTTTTAATTTTACCTACATTCATAGTTTATTGTCTACATTCATAATTTAAAGATATGTTAAATTTCAGCCAGAGGTTAATGGAAATGAAGATAACATTTTTTTTACCCATCGAAGTTCACAGAACCACTGAATCTATTAGTGGACATCATTAATTAAACATCCCCGGTACTGTTGATTCTTATTTATTCTTTAAATTTCATTCCAAATGTTGATTCCTCAGAGAGTCATTTTCTGATAACCAGACTAGATCAAATTTCACTGTTATACTCTTCAATCATCCCACACTTTTCCCTTGCAGGACTTTACCTCAGTTGATAATGGTACATTTGTACATTGGTTGTCTGCTCCCTCTTCACCTCTTTCTCTGAGAAAAGAGATGGTATCTGTTAGTCACTGTTGTATTACCAGCACATAGTAGATGCTCAGTAAATATTTGTTGAGTAAATAAACATTAGGAAAGCTATCAAAGGAATTTGTTACCTTAGTAAGTAGGAAAAGAGCTTGGTACACTTGAGAGACTGACTGAAGGCTAGTGTGTATAACCATTTTTGGGGATATGTAGTTGTAAAATATATGTAGCTATAGTCAGGATGTAAGGTAGGTCACAGTAACCAAATAGCAAGGAGTTTAGGGAAAATTAGGGAACGGGAGAAAGGGCAAATTGTTCATGAGGGAAAAGAGAAGGGGTAATGTTTATGGGTAGACTTGTGGCTTTCTCTGTTACCTCTACCTTTACTAGTACTGCCATTATCATTTTACTTAATCATTTAGCCAGGCCTGATATATAGTAGTCTTTGCTAACTGGATATTATGAAGGTAAAGCTGAAGGTTTTTGTTTGTGAAATGTTACACTAAGATATGAGCTGATGATAGATCTTTAAATAATGCTTTTAAAATGTGCCTGTTTACATTAATCTTCACCAGAATGTCACAGGTAGACTAATGGTTGGCCTACGTTGGTGGAATCACATTGATGAAGATGGAAAGAGCCACTGGGTATTTGAATCTAGAAAGGTAAAGTGCCTTTTTTGTTTTAATAGTGTTATCAGCTAAATTGTTTGTAGATTATATTTAAATATTAGAAGATGAAGTATTCAGAATTGAAAACACTTAGCAAATCACTTGGCATGTCAGTACTAAAGGAGATGGCCTTCTAGAATTTAATGCATTTTTCTGTCTAGTTCAGACCGGAAACAAGCAATACACAGAACAGAAGCCTTTGAGGAAAGACGCTGGGTCAGCGTTTATACAGTGTGCTAAGCTGCCTGTCAGGGACTGCTGATAAAATACCTCTGTGTTGCCTTCGTTAGTATCTCCATGAATCCCTCTATGCCCAGCAGATAACGGCTTTCAACATCTTGTTTTGTCTTTGCTCCTGTGGTCATCTTTCCTTTCTGGGCAGGAAAAAGGAGGAGGAGGAGTGCAACTGGATAGAAAAGCTGATCAGAGCACTCTATTCTTCAAACCTCTGCCTTCAGGAGCCCTGGGGGTCCCAGTCTGTTTTGGGTTAGCCTGCTACACTATAGTGAATATTCACTTTCCTCATGGAAATAAGTTTTGGAAGCAGAGGACCAAATTCATGGCGACAGTACATCAAGGGTATTGACAAGTTATTTTAAGAAAGTGGCACTGTGTTCAATGATCCTGTATTCTTTTATATTATAGAATCTACCTTGGACACAACTTACCACCCTTGTAAATTCCTGGATATTGCTAAGACATTTTGATAATTGTCTTGAATCCCTTAATTCCAGTTTTTTCCCCCTCTGGATGCTAATTTGACCTTTTAGTCTCCAGAATGATTATAACTGTGATTTCCTTGATCCTTAGTCAGAAAGGTGTCATTTAGAGCTTCCTTATGAATAAGTAGTACAAGTGCAAGAAGAATTGAATAGAAGCCTATCAGAGACCACTCTTTACTGTCATGTGTTGTGGTAAACCATCCATCCTGTCCTGAAAATGCAAAATGCAAAATTCTTGAGTTAATATAGATCAGTTCCTAAAATTACAAGAGTGGAAGTCATGTTTTTTTGGCTTCTGACTTAGGACTTGGGCTGTCTGTATTAATATTTGAACTTGTGAGTAATATGTTTTTTATTAAACATGTTGAACTTTTTATTGATAAATCTCAGAACATGATAAATGAATTTATGTTCTTTTATAGGAGTCCTCTCAAGAGAATAAAACTGTGTCAGAGGCTGAATCAAGAATCTTTTGGTTGGGACTTATTGCCTGTCCAGTGCTGTGGGTGATATTTGCCTTTAGTGCACTCTTCTCCTTCAGAGTAAAATGGTTGGTGAGTATCAATGTAGGACTTTCAAATAATCCATTAAGATGTCTGATGGTAATCATAGGAAGCAACAACCGAGTCCTTATCATTAGGGATATGTGAAATTTTTTCACACAATATTTACTGATATCAGGTATATTTTGACCTTAATTATATTTTTCCTCCTAATTTGTAGTATTTTTTTAGTTCTGTTTTGCGATACAGGTTCTATTTTTCTTTGTGTGTGCTCATACATTCATACTTCTTTGGATTTGGAAACTTACTATCTTTTTCAGTTCTTCTAGTAGTTACCTTTAATTACTTTATATGTTTATATCATTACCCTCTTTCATGAATTAGGAAATTTATTCAATATTTGTAGATTTCCTGCTCTGCAAAATGGGAAACTTTACACTCATATGGTTTCTTTAACTTCTCCCTGTTCCTACCTCTAGAGTTTTGCTTATTGTAGTCTTATTTTAGTCCTTCTAGTGGTTTTCTTTGTAACATTAATTAATGTACTTAAACCTGTTTGTTGACTTAATAGACTCTGTTTAGAAAGGGAAGAAAATAAACACTCATATTCCTTCCTATGAGTCTCCTCCTTTCTTTCTTGTTTGTTCTAATGTTATTTTTGTGTTACCAAGTATTATAATAGTTATCTTTTGAAAACATATTTCTTAGTGGGTGTTCAGTCTTTGATCTGTTTTTTAAAAAAATCGATTCATTGCCTATCATCAGTCTTACTGCAGCTTCTCCTTTTACTTATTGGTTGGTTACATTTTCTTTTGACTCATGTTTAAACATATGAGCCTATTGACCATTCTTGAATGATGACCTGGCTGGATTAATATTCTTGGGTCACAGTTTGTTTCCTTTTGGAAGATGCTATTCCATCATTTTCTTATATTGAATATTTTGGAGAAGTCTGAGGCCAGGCTTACTTAACCTTTGTAAATCTCTCCCCATAAGGGTTTGTTTTGTTTTTTTTTAGTTCGTGTAACCCAGATGTATCTGTATTTATCTTTCCATATCAGTTTTCTGGAGCCTGTGTGCCTTTCTGAGACAGGCAGACTAAAGTTTTACTTGGAATCAGGAAAATTTTTTTCTGTTAAATCTTTGCATTTATTTATGTTCTATGTTTTGACCTTTAATTTTGAAGTATTAGTTATGTCTATGTTGGATCATTTTTATTTGTTCTCGTCTACTATTTTCTTGTTGCTGTAATTATTCATTTCTTTATTTATTCAGCAATTTTAAGAGTTCACTGTTATGTCAGAGCGGCCTGGGGACACAGGGGGATAAGTTAGGGGACAGGTAAACAAGATGACTGTTCCAGTAGAGCTTGTGTTCTAGTGGAAGGTAGACAGACAGTAAAAAATACAGTAGGGTATGTTACTTAATGATACAAAGTAATGGGGTAGAGAGGGCAGAGGAGAGAATAGTAACTATTTTAGGTGCTCAGCTAAGGCTTCTCTCTGTATTTCCTTAGCTTTGTCAGCTCCGTTTTCATCTCCTGTTATCTCATCCTCATGCTTTTTGAGTTCTTATCTTTAGGTTTTTCTATAGGGTGAAATATTCCCAGGAATGCTTTTATTTTGATGGTTTTTTTTTTCTTTCTGAGTAGATTCTTCACCTATCTTCTGTATACTGTGCTGCTTTTTTCTTTTTTTTGCTATAGTTTTGCATAAATGCACTTCCCTTTGTCCTTATCCATTTTGCTTATCCTTACAGTGACAGCCCTGTCTAGCCCTTCTCTTTCTGCTGGTTTAGTGAGGGTGAATCTTCCTTGACCACCTTCCCCTGATGTCTGAGGCATGTGGCTGCTGCTCTGAGCTGGAGTTGCGGTGCTGGGTTTGGTGGCATTAAGACACAGGTGTGAGGTGCGAGGTGGAGACCTCGCCAGGCTCTGGCTGTCTTGGCTGAGCTGCCTGGTTTTGCGTTCTCTTCCTTAGTGGAGCTCTTGTCTCCTAGTTGGCTATGCACTCTCCTCTGGTTTTTCCCGTCTGCTTTGGATTGTTTGTGAGACCTTGGAGTTTTAGCATCCATCCAGGAGAGTCAGCCCAGTCTTTTTCTAGCAGTGTTTCTACTTCCTTAAAACAAAACAGGGAGAGGTTATGTGAAAGCCAGTTTGATCCTGTGTTAACCTACTTATGCCTAGTGTTCCATTATTGGAATGCTAAGCATGTAGGAGTTATTTATATCCTACTGCTCAAGGTCATCACCAAAGTCTGATTTTTCACTCATGCAAAAATTTACAAAATTGCAACCTACAGTATAAATGGGTTAAGACTGCTGGGTATAGTGGCTCATGCCTTTTATCCCAGCACTTTGGGAGGGCCGAGGTGGGCAGATCACTAGGTCAGGAGATCGAGACCATCCTGGCTGACATGGTGAAACCCTGTCTCTACTAAAAATACAAAAAATTAGCATGGTGGCAGGCGCCTGTAGTCCCGGCTACTCGGGAGGCTGAGGCAGGAGAATGGTGTGAACCCAGGAGGTGGAGTTTGCAGGGAGAGATCGTGCCACTGCACTCCATTCTGGGCGACAGAGCAAGACTCCATCTCAAAAGAAAGAAATAATTAAAAATAATAAAAATAAATGGGTTAAGACCACAGGACAGGAAGGGGCTTCACCCAGGCTCTCCATGAGTCTCCCACCTTTTCACTTCTCTTAAGATGATCAGCTGTCATGATTATTGATGCTTCTGTGCTTCCTCTCCTGCCTTCTTCCCACCTGGTGGCACCACTGTGGCCAGCTGCAGGGATTTTCCTGCCTTTTTGGGCCATTGTTAGTTGGGAGGAGTTTCTGTTGTCATGGCTATTTCTGCATTTTTTTTTCTCGGGTCTTTTGCTTTTCTGTAAGTTGCTAGGGATGGCAATTATTAGTGAAATCTTCCTTAGAGCTTCTTTGGAGAGTGTGGAGCTGTGTAGAGCTGCTCCAGGCTGGCTCTTTGGCCACCAGCCCTTTTTTATGTTTGTTGGTATTAGTTTATTTGCGTTTTTAAAAACGCTGTTTGCTGTTTATACCTTAAGGGGAGGAAGATCTTCATGCCTGACTTTACTGCACCATCTTAAACCAGAAGTTTAACTTATAGATTTTAACATTTGTTGCCATTGAGTAAATTGATGCCTTAGCAGGACCTGTGATTGGTCTGTGAATTCAGGTGTACCCTTGCATGTTGATATATACATACCCAGCAGCGCCACTATTTGAGAAGCATGGGAAGTTAAAAGGACATTTATTCAAATAAAGACACAGTTTTATGTTTATGTAGGTAACTAGCAACCTCTTATTACACTAACACGTTTAATTCCATGAAACATAAGTTTAGAACAGAAAGTACCACCTCCTTGTCTTTTACTAGGAATGTGACCCTGTTCATTAATCAAACATTTAAATCTATTAATTAAACATTAAAATCAGCCATACATCTTGTTAAGGGTAAGGAGAATAAATCTAGATTGGAAAAAGACATTTCATTGAGCTCCTTTGCTTGTCACAGATATAAAAGAGTAGAATGGTCGATGAGCTGTTTATTCCAGAACAAGGGTTGGCAAACTATGGCCTGCAGACCACATCCAGCCCGACACCTGTTTTTGTAAGTTTTTATTGAAAAGCAGCCTTGCGCATTTATATATCGTCTATGGCTGCCTTTGGATTAGAACATTAGAGTTGAGTAATTGCAACAGAGACCGTATGGTCTAAAATATTTATGATTTGGCCCTTTACAGAAGAACTTTGCTGATCACTGTATTAGAATCTTTAACCATGGGAATTCCTCACATTGTCTTAATTTTTCTAATTGAGATTAATTAGAAATTTTTAAAGAATGGGTTTTGAGTTTCTTTTTCTCACTTCTCATTGATCCTAATGGGACCACCATAGGTGAGAAAAAGAAACTCAAAGGAACAAACAGCTCTGCAAAAGTACAGTTCCCCTTGGAGCTGTCTCCCTTCTCAGGGAAGGCAGGCATCCGTTGATTGCTCCCTTAGGGCATTGCATCCCCTCTACTAGAAGCCAGTTGTCACATAGAGCAGAGATTCACCCCTGCCTGCTCTCAGTTTATTGGACTTGATCTACCTCTTGACTGTTCTTTTGTAATTCTTACAGGAATAATGAACATTTGAGCCTTTCCTGAGTCTCATTTACTTTTCCTAACTTTACTCACAGACCAGTGGGAAACAGAGAGCAAGAAGGCTTCCCCTTCACTGCATGCCCAGCAGCTAGTATGTGCCTGGCACATAGAGCGGTTGTGTTCAGTAAATACCTGCTGGGTGAATGACTCGTGCCTTGTGCAGAGCGTCTATCAGTTGGGTCTATTCTGGCAGCTGTCTCTGGAAAAGTCTCACTGGCACAATCATGGCTTTGCAGAGCTTCCTCTTCCCTCTCTTTCTCATGACAATCTGCCTTGTCTCATTTATGGCACAGAGAAAGGTCAATTTCAGGCCAGTAACCACTGATTATTGTTTTCCCTTGTCCCAGGCGGTGGTTATCATGGGTGTGGTGCTACAAGGTGCCAACCTGTATGGTTACATCAGGTGTAAGGTGGGCAGCAGAAAGAATTTAACCAGCATGGCTACTTCATATTTTGGAAAGCAGTTCTTACGACAAGTAAGTGTTTTCTGGATGTGATCAGTGACTGATGCAATAATTTCTAATCTTTTTTTTTAGATGGAGTCTTGCTCTGTCGCCCAGGCTGGAGTGCAGTGGGGCAATCTCGGCTCACTGCAAGCTCTGCCTCCCGGGTTCACACCATTCTCCTGCCTCAGTCTCCCGAGTAGCTGGGACCACAGGCGCCCGCCACCACGCCCGGCTAATTTTTTTGTATTTTTACTGGAGACGGGGTTTCACCGTGTTAGCCAGGATGGTCTCGATCTCCTGACCTCATGATCCTCCTGCCTTGGCCTCCCAAAGTGCTGGGATTACAGGCGTGAACCACCGCACCCGGCCCATAGTTTAATTTTTATGAAACGCCCCTGAACAGAAGTTTTTTAAAGGCATTTAGTTATTTAAATATAAAGATAAAGATGTTTTAATTGCTCTTTGGGGGTGTTCAAGATATTCTGGAAGTGTATTGTCAGTATCCTAAAATTATTTTAAAGCCAGGAAGGATAAACTATCATTGATAATAAGTTATTTTTTAAAAATTACTTTTAAGTTCAGTTGTTTTTCATTAATTATGGGAGCTTTAAGTGAATATCCTTGAAGAATGTATGTTGTATGGTTTTTTTGAGATGGAGTCTTGCTCTGTCACCCAGCCTGGAATGTAGTGGCACGATCTCGGCTCACTGCAAGCCCCGCCTCATTCTCTTGCCTCAGCCTCCCCAGTAGCTAGGACTACAGGCACCAGCCACCATACCCGGCTAATTTTTTTGTATTTTTAGTAGAGATGGGGTTTCACTGTGTTGCCAGGATGGTCTCGATCTCCTGACCTCGTGATCTGCCCGCCTCGGCCTCCCAAAGTGCTGGGATTACAGGTGTGAGCCACCGCGCCCAGCCTGTATGTTGTATGGTTTTAGGGAGAACAGTTGAATCACAATAGGACCATAACATTTGTACTCAGATGTTTTTTTCCCCCTAGAACATAAGGATTTTACTATAATACCCCAACATCAGGGTTTTCAGGAGGATGAGTAGTCGTCGTAGGTAAATAATTATTGGTTAAATCTCTTGGGAAAAGTGACAAAGTCAGCCAGGTGCGGTGGCTCATGCTTATAATCCCAGCACTTTGGGAGGCCAGGGCGGGCAGATCACCTGAGGTCGGGAGTTTGAGACCAGCCTGATCAATATGGAGAAACCCCATCTCTACTAAAAATACAAAATTAGCCAGGTGTGGTGGCACATGCCTGTAATCCCAACTACTAGGGAGGCTGAGGCAGGAGAATCTCTTGAACACGGGAGGCGGAGGTTGTGGTGAGCTGTGATCGCGCCATTGCACTCCAGCCTGGGAGTTTGCTCTTATTTCAACAAGAGCGAAACTCCGTCTCAAAAAAAAAAAAAAAAAAGAAAAGTGACAAGGTCTTTATATGAGTAATACCTTGCATTTGGTTAGTACAGTAGGTTGGGCAAGTGATGTTATATAGGACAGGAATTCTCAAACTTGAACATACATGAGAATCACCTAGAGGGCACAAGATTGCTGAGTTCCACCTCCAGACTCCTTATTCAGTAGATCTAGGGGTAGGGTCTCATAATTTGCATTTCTCCCAAGTTTCTGGGTGGTACTGAGGGTGCTGGTCCAGGGATTACATTTTAGATAACTAAAGCCCTGAGAAATTAAATTATTTACTTAAGATTATACAGCTAATAAGTGGTACAAAGCTAGATCTTAAACCCAGCCCTTCGTACTCAAAATTTATCGTTCTTTTTATGCTACCGTACAGTTTCTCTTCCAGAAGATGAAAAGTAGAGAAAGTGAATATTCACGTAGGGACATGATCATCTCATTCTGAAGGATATTTGCATGGTCCCAGTATACCTTTACTGTGGTCCACCTTAGGGTAACTTTCATGTATGTACTTAATAGGTTTTTATCCTTAGAATTTTCAGTGTTTCTGAAGGTCTGGGGAGGGACATGGAATACAGGTGAAATTAAACCTTACACCTGGCATAACATGGATAGGGTTAGTGTCTTACATGGTACTGGCATCTGCTCAAATGGGACAAACCGGACAGCTGGGTGGATGATGGTATCCATGGGTTTACTTCAGTAGTGTGTGTCTACTTTTTTTTTTTTTTTTTTTTTTTTTTGAGATAGAATCTTGCTCTTTCTACCCAGGCTGGAGTGCAGTGGCATGATTTTGGCCCACTGCAAGCTCTGCCTCCTGGGCTCACGCCATTCTCCTGCCTCAGCCTCCCGAGTAGCTGGGACTGCAGGCGCCCGCCACCATGCCCAGCTAATTTTTTGTATTTTTAGTAGAGACGGGGTTTCACCGTGTTAGAGCCAGGATAGTCTCCATCTCCTGACCTTGTGATCTGCCCACCTCAGCCTCCCAAAGTGCTGGTATTACAGGGCGTGAGCCACCGCTCCTGTCCTGGCATGTCTACTTTTTAATGTGATTGGGCCATTGTATGTAAGGTAATGCTCTGCTTAGAAATACAGAATGTTTTCCTAGGCGTAGGCCTTGAAGTCCATGGTGTGTGAAGTGAAATAACTTTGATATTAAGGAGTTTTTTTTTTTGTCTTTTGCAGAACACTGGAGATGATCAGACTTCCTGAATAGAGAAAACTTAATGTGCTTTGTTACATTGGGGAACAACTGAAGAGATTCTTGACTCTGAACCTTTTAGAGCTTAGTCCATGTTGCAACGAGGAGTGTTGGCTTTGTTTTTCCACTTAAAAACTTTATTTATAAAAAGGAAAAGTAGTTTTCATGTTAAGTTTTTATTTCCTTTCCAGCATTTGGGGCTAGAAAGTATATGTTGGCACTAGAAACATTGTCAAGATTTATTCTGTGGTGTAGGTATGCACATGTTCCATAGGTATGCACACAGCCATGTAATATCAGTATATCCCAAGTTAATGAAAGTGTTCATTTACATAGGTAATGGAGACCTTTGCATTTTGATCCATAAAACATGGGAGGATGTTCTTAGTCTGTCTCAAAGCTCTGTGTGTTTACATATTATTTCTGTAGATGATTTTCAGGAGTAAATTTTGCTTCCATGGTAAGAGTGAGCACTTTGGCTTATGTATAAGTTAGAAATTTTTGTTAGTTTTTAATATGTACTTCATGGGGAAATTTCTTAGACATATACAAGCAAGTGAAAACAATTAGGGCCAGTGGTATTAACTACTTTCTAAAATCTTATTTTTATTTGTAAGAAGTCATTTACTTAAGGCCCAGTTAATATAAGTGGAATCATCATTGTTTGTTTAAGGAATACCCAGAGATTGCTGCTGTTCTATTTATTTTACAGAAAGGATAGCTAGATTGAAAGCTCTTCAGTGGACCTTGCGCTAATAGATCTTTTACCACTAAAAGAGCATTATTCTCATGTCATAATGAGAATAATCATTTACATACTTGGCATAATAAATGCCTAAAGGACATTTTATTTTCTGAATCTATTTTTTTCTTGCTATAATGGGGATATTGTAAATTATGCATTTGTATTAATGGTATTTCTTAAAGCATTCTGTGTAACTGTAAACCAATCTACAAACTATTGTAGGCATTTGTAAATTCTGTTGTAGGTATTATAAACTTTGTTGAAGTCTTAATCAGCAGATTATGTTGTGAATATATTTGTACATTGTTAAAATAGTTTTTAAGATTATTTGTTTAATTGAATAAGTGTCTTATTGGAGTGATAGCTTTGAAGGTGCAAAACTTTATATTTGTATAAAATTCTACTGTTTACAAGGCATTTGACATGTGTAATCTCATTTAATCCTCATGACAAATATGTAATACTTAGATGATGTAACAGAACTTCCGGTTATTGAGTGACTTTCCTAAGGAAAACAGATTACAGGAATATCTGTAGGATATAAAACACGATATATTAGTATTTTTAGAGAAAATATTTGCTCTAAATGCCTTTTCCTTTCTTAAAAATTAATAATTTGTTAAGAGCTTGTTTATTTTACTTATACTCAGCTATTCTGTCTGGTGAGAAGAATTGATACTGCACTGAAGACATTTTAAAAGTTAATCTGAAAGATCTAACCTAAATCTTTAGGGTTGAGAGTCTAACAGAGGATACATTGGTATAATTCTTTTAGATAACTGTGTTGTTTGAACTGTAATCCTAAACCAAGTAACAATTGAATTTTAGAATATGCATGTGGCAGGAGCTACCATGTATTCCCTAATACTCGTTTTTCCCCTTCTACAGATTTACCACCTAATTAGCTAGGGCATGGCATCCTGGAATAAAGATAACCCTTCCCACATTTTATCGCTGTATCTTGGTGTGGCCACATGACCGAGTTCGGGCCAATGGATACATTTCCAGGAAGTATCCTTAAAAGGAGGAGGCATGCCCATCCCTTCCCCCTTTTTCCTGAAAGGTAGACACAGTGCAGGAACTAGAGCAGCCATCTTGGACTATGTGGTAAAGGCTTTGTTTTGTGAATGGCAGATAAATGAGGTAGATATTGTCTGAATCCCATCTTGTGTATAGCATCCCTGAACTGCTTGTCTGAATTTTTTTTTGAGACAGATCTTTTGCTCTTGTCGTCCTGGCTGGAGTGCAGTGGTGTGATCTCGGCTCATTGCAACCTCTGCCTCCTGGGTTCAAGCGATTCTCTTGCCTCAGCCTCCCTACTAGCTGGGATTACCACCCTGCCACCATGCCTGGCTAATTTTTGTATTTTAGTAGAGACGGGGTTTCACCCTGTTAGCCAGGATGGTTTCTATCTCCTGACCTCGTGATCCGCCCGCCTCGGCCTTGCAAAGTACTGGGATTACAGGCATGAGCCACCATGCCTGGCCAGCTCTCTGAACTTTTAATAAAAGTGAAGGGAACTATCTTCTTCAAGTGTTATTGTTCTGACTTCTCTGTTGCTCATAGCCTAACTGGATTCTTGTCAATACAGTGCACTTTTGAGCATTATCCATGATTACTTCCATTTGTACTAACTTTCCATATTGTACTAACTGGAGTTGTTAGTACAGTACACTCCAGTTGTTAGTACAGTATTAGAAATGTAATAATTTAGTAAATACATAGTTGATCTTTATGTAGTACTTAAGTGAATATTATAGTTGCCACTGAGTTGCACTGTCCCAGATGCTGTTGCTACATAAAACTCCACCCCCAGAATTACTGGTACTGGTGAGAAGTCATTTTATTTTGCTCACAAATTCTGTAGGCCAGGAATTTGGATGGAGCACAGTGATGGCTGGGGAAGGAGCCAGGAAGTGGCATGGAGCTTTTCAGCCACTGACCTGGAGGTTGACATTGGCTGTCAGCTGTGGCATCATCTAGGCTGTTGGTTGGAACACCTACACTGTGTAGTTTCTCCTTGAGGGCACATTTGACTTCTTCACAACCTGGCACTGGGTTCTAACAATGAGCCTTCCAAGAGAGCAAGAGAAGTGCATGGCATTTTAATGACTAATCTTGGAATTCACATTATGTCTCTTCTGTCATACTTCATTGGATGAAGCAATAACCAAGGTCCATCCAGCTTCAATAGAAGGGTACATAGAGCCCAGTACTTGATGAAAGGAGTGTTAAGATTACATTATAATAAGAGTATGTGGGATGGGAGATACTCTTTGGAAAATAAAATCTGTGACACTTTAATCATTTCATCAAGACTGAAGAAATTAGGAGAGACTGAGGCTACGTGGTTTTCCTCTCTATTGTCCCTGGTCAGCCTTGGATACAGGTGAATTGACTGAATGGTGCTAGAAAAATGAAAGTAGAATCACTTTTTTTTTTTTTTTTTTTTTGACGTGGAGTTTCGCTTTCGTTGCCCAGACTGGAGTGCAGTGGCGCGATTCTCCTGCCTCAGCATCCCAAGTAGCTGGGACTACAGGTGTCCGCCACCACAGCTAATTTTGTATTTTTAGTAGAGACGGAGTTTCTCTATGTTGGTCAGGCTAGTCTCGAACTCCCGACCTCAGGTGATCCGCCTGTCTCAGCCTCCCAGAGTGCTGGGATTACAGGTGTGAGCCACTGCGCCTAGCCTTAGTAAAATCACATTCTAATTCCAAATCCCCCAGAGTATTCTTTGACCCAGACCTCTAAATAGATAGGTAAAGATGTGTGTGTGCACGCAGAGGTGATGGCACATTAATTCCAACATATAGGTACTATGGGCCTTTTTAAATCTGTGTAACTCTTAGGGCTTATTAAAGTTCTTTTATGTATTATCTCATATGATTCTCCCCAAGAGGGAAAAATGACCATTATGTACCATGTAACCTCATGTTACAGGTAGGTAACTAATACTGAGAGAAGTAAGATAATTTATTGAAGGGTGCATATAGTAGAGTTAGTAATGCTCACTAAACGTTCCATTTGTTCTACATTTCCCAGCTTCCTTAATTCGTTTGAGGCCATGAAATGTGAGTGAACAATGGCCAATGAAATGTGAATGAAAGTGAATAGAGATGCTAGTTGCCTGAATAGCATAGGACAGTTTTAGACAGCAAAGAGTTGTCCTGTATCTCATGACTTCTTTGTACCTCGCTGAATAATTATGTACATGGAAATCCTGTTTATAATGAGAAAAGAAAAGCCACCCTTACAGCTGTCAGTTGGAAGCTGACCTGGCTCTAATGGCTAGGCTATTCTGTTGAATATAAACAATTTTATAGAACACCAACATCTGACAAGGCCACTCTGAATGTGGTGGAGGAAGACAAAAATTAAGACACTCCATAGTCATGTTAAACTTTGAAGCAAGATTCTGTGTAAATTCATAGAGCGACCAAACATTCCTGTCTCTTGGCTTACATGTGTGATAGTTGGTTCATTACCCATTGGATCACTCTGTTCCTTCTTCCTCCTAGATTAAAAATTTTAATATTTACACTCATTTAGAATTGCCCTTGCTTTCTGAAAGCACTCAATCCAGAGTAAAACTAGGATTCATGGAGCCCTTCTTGAAATCACCCAACACAACCCCAAATCCTATAAAAAGCCCTTCCCAGCACTCCCATACTGAGGCACCCCATGGTTCCCCATGGTGTGTGATCTCTCTTGTGCAAAAGCATGCTGATAAACCCAACTCGATTCAATCCGATCTGTTCCTCACGATCTCTGACTGGTGGACATCGACAATAATTTTTTGAGCTTATATTATAATTCCATTTCATATTTTTGTTGTTGCAGATCTGCAATACTTGATTTGCCCAAAAATGCAATTACCAGTTAAGTGAGGGAAGGTTGTAGTTTTTGTTCAGTATGTAACCAAGAGTTTTCTATCATTTTAAAAACTCACTAGTGGCAACATTGCTTGTGGCATTTGAGTTCCAGGTCAAAAGTACTGCAGTAGTCTGCATTTGTAGTGGGCACATTAATGGTAATTATATGTACATATGCAAGCACCTAATTACTGTGTCATCAGGAGTTTTGGCCATTTCCAGATTGAATTATATACTATCATAAGTTGCTTCCTTTTCTCTGTTACATTACAGTTAGATAATAAAGATACCTTTAATCATGATAGATGATTAAAAATATGCCTGAGGTTAAGATATTGTTTGTGTTTTTGAATAATAAAACATGTTTTAAAATATTTCTGATAAAAATTGGCGCCGGGCGCGGTGGCTCAAGCCTGTAATCCCAGCACTTTGGGAGGCTGAGACGGGCGGATCACAAGGTCAGGAGATCGAGACCATCCTGGCTAACATGGTGAAACCCCGTCTCTACTAAAAAATACAAAAAACTAGCCGGGGGAGGTGGTGGGCGCCTGTAGTCCCAGCTACTTGGGAGGCTGAGGCAGGAGAATGGCATAAACCTGGGAGGCGGAGCTTGCAGTGAGCTGAGATCCAGCCACTGCACTCCAGTCTGGGTGACAGAGCAAGACTCCGTCTCAAAAAAAAAAAAAAAAAAAAAAAAAAAAAAAAAAAAAAAAAAAAAAATTGGCTGTGAGCCTGAAGGGGTGAAAACCATTAGTCTACAGTCATTGATGAACTGTCTGTCCCTTAGGCCCTCTTAGTTGGAGCTGGAGAGTGGATAGACATGAACTTGAACTCTGGTGTTCTAATATTCTGTGTTGTTTACTGAAGGTCGATGCCATGTGCTTTGGAAATCAGCATGGACATTCTATGAAATAAGAGAAGCAATTTTCCCATTTAGATGGTCTATCATGGGTGGTAATGTCTAGTGTTCTAAGTGAATGTAGTAGATGCTGCTTAATTAAGAGAAATCCTATATATCTCATTTAAAAAAAATCCTAGAGAAACATTTCCAGAATGGTGGAGTATGGATCTTTGAATATCTGATTCTGCATCAAATCAACGAGTACACTGGCAGAAGTGATCAAAATAAACTTTTTGAAACTCTAGAAATTAACCAAAGGATTGCAACAACCCAAAGAAAATGTGTTTGAGAAAAAGGCTGAATCTCTGTATGATCAGTAAGCTTTGTGGTGTTTTAACTTGTCCTGTCCCCATCTTCTCTTCACCTCCACAGTAGCCTTGAAAATCAGCAACCTTGAGACCACAGTAGCAGTGAAAACCAGTAGCCTAGAAGCCACTGAAGGAATTTAGAGTCCCTCTAAGATAGATTTGGAGTTATCCAAGAAGCCCCATCCCTGGAGATTTGTCACTTCTTGACCTGTCTGGCAGCTCCCTGGAATAGTCCCAATCACAGGGCTTGTCTTCATTTAACCCAACTCAGTTCACTCAGTGAGGAAAGTATCCTCAGGTTGTTTGTCAGAAACAATTGGTGGCAATTATTTAAAC